AAATTCTAATAATAAGCCCTTGTTTAGGCTCCATTTTGATGAGATTTTGAGAAAAATGCATTTTGAAATAGTATTTTTTCGAAGAATTTGTGGTTAAAAAGTAAGAAAATTTTTGAATTTATGTATAATATTATTTTATTGAAAAATTTGCGATTAAAAAAAAATATATTTTTGATTTAATGGAATCCAAACAAGGACATCATTCTTGAAAATAGTTGACCTTCTGATTCATTTGTTCCATAGAGTCGAAGCAAAAGTCCCACTATCATTTAGTTCGATATAAATAAATTATCAATACCGATAAATAGCATTATTTCAAAATCAAACTAGACCTAGGGCAAGAAGAGCAAATGGTGAATTTTATTACCAGTAACAATAATGCTTCGTGATTGAACACAGTTAACTGTGTGGTTTCTTGCATAGATACAATCAAAATAGAGACAGATTTTGAAATATGAAATCAACCGCTGCAAGTAACCCCTATAATAATAGGCAACAAATATCCGAAACCCCAAAAACCCAACTACTAGCTGGCAAAAACACTATGCAAATCTCAATTTCTATATAAACGAGAAAAAAATCCACACAAGTCACAAAATCTGATATGGGTTGCAGTCACAATCTTATATCTCGCCTTAGACTTCACCATTTTGCCATTTCTTTACTGATTCTGTTAATTTCAAGCTCATCCCACCTCAGAATATTCCATGCAGAAGGTAAACTTGGTGGCATTTGATTTGAATATACAATTTGACGTTTCAAAACTAAACATAAATTTCCTATCTATATGCATGTTGCAGGTAGAATTTTAGTACAGGGGGCAAATAACCACAAGGTATGTATACATTATAAAATCTTAAAGTTGTATATTTTGAGCATTATTTGTGTTTCTCTGAGTTTCATGGCTTACACTTTGAATCATTGATATTTAAAAAAAAAAAAAAAAAAACTTGATTTTTTGTGTTTTCATTGGGTAGACAGTGAAAGAAGATCAGAAGGCAATCTTGAGGTCCCAAATCGGTTCGAGGCCACCGCAGTGCGAGAAGAGGTGCAGTTCTTGTGCACATTGTGAGGCCATTCAGGTGCCTACGAACTCCACCACAATCTCAGGAATTGCCTATAATAGAGGTGATGACCCTCCTAACTACAAGTCAATGAGCTGGAAATGCAAATGTGGAAACCAAATTTTCAACCCATAATTGTTTCGTAATTCTGAAGTCTTAAACAAGACTGAAGAGTACAACGAAATTTTTTTTTTAACATTTTTTTCACTGTTGAACGCTAGCGATATGACCATGTATGGTGTTGGAGCCACAGTTACCAAACAAACAGCTGATATTATATTTACTTTCTTTTTGTTGGCACCTTTCAATCTTCCTGCAACTCATGTAAATTCTTCATTAATCTCGTAGAGTTATATAAAAATCATATGGATTCAGGATTTCTGACCTTTCTATGATCTTATGTACATGCCGAGATTGTGCAATACATTAAAAGTCTGTCAAATATGGAAAGATTTGGTTTAGACTGTAGAAAGTGACAAAGATTTGTGCCTATTTACGTGTATAACTTCCTGATTTTATAAAACGGACCGTTAGGTCTCTCTCAGAGATACTGCCTTTTCTGGAAAAAATGCCTTTTTGAACACGCAAAAGAATTCCTTTTAGGCAGGAAATTCAATCATGCATACAGCTTCATTTTTTTATTTTTTTTCCTGGGTTTTTGATTTCTTCACTGGCAAGTAATCTGAATTTCTTGATTGTGAAATGGGTTTTTGATTTGCTTACTAAGGCCCCGTTCGGGAGGGCTTNAAATTCTAATAATAAGCCCTTGTTTGGGCTCCATTTTGATGAGATTTTGAGAAAAATGCATTTTGAAATAGTATTTTTTCGAAGAATTTGTGGTTAAAAAGTAAGAAAAAATTTTAAATTTACGTATAATATTATTTTATTGAAAAATTTGCGATTAAAAACAAATTAAAAAATATATATTTTTGATTTAATGGAATCCAAACAAGGACATCATTCTTGACAATAGTTGACCTTCTGATTCATTTGTTCCATAGAGTCGAAGCAAAAGTCCCAATATCATTTAGTTCGATATAAATAAATTATCAATACCGATAAATAGCATTATTTCAAAATCAAACTAGACCTAGGGCAAGAAGAGCAAATGGTGAATTTTATTACCAGTAACTGTAATGCTTCGTGATTGAACACAGTTAACTGTGTGGTTTCTTGCATAGATACAATCAAAATAGAGACAGATTTTGAAATATGAAATCAACCGCTGCAAGTAACCCCTATAATAATAATAAAATAGGCAACAAATATCCAAAACCCCAAAAACCCAACTACTGGCTGGCAAAAACACTATGCAAATCTCAATTTCTATATAAACAAGAAAAAAATCCACACAACTCACAAAATCTGATATGGGTTGCAGTCACAATCTTATATCTCGCCTTAGACTTCATCATTTTGCCATTTCTTTACTGATTCTGTTAATTTCAAGCTCATCCCACCTCGGAATATTCCATGCAGAAGGTAAACTTGGTGGCATTTGATTTGAATATACAATTTGATGTTTCAAAACTAAACATAAATTTCCTATCTATATGCATGTTGCAGGTAGAATTTTAGTACAGGGGGCAAATAACCACAAGGTATGTATAGATTATAAAATCTTAAAAGTTGTATATTTTGAGCATTATTTGTGTTTCTCTGAGTTTCATGGCTTACACTTTGAATCATTGAAATTTAAAAAAAAAAACTTGATTTTTTGTGTTTTCATTGGGTAGACAGTGAAAGAAGATCAGAAGGCAATCTTGATGTCACAAATCGGTTCGAGGCCACCGCAGTGCGAGAAGAGGTGCAGTTCTTGTGCACATTGTGAGGCCATTCAGGTGCCTACTAACTCCACCACAATCTCAGGAATTGCCTATAATAGAGGTGATGACCCTCCTAACTACAAGTCCATGAGCTGGAAATGCAAATGTGGAAACCAAATTTTCAACCCATAATTGTTTCGTAATTCTGAAGTCTTAAACAAGACTGAAGAGTACAACGAAAAAATTTTTTTAACATTTTTTTTCACTGTTGAACGCTAGCGATATGACCTTGTATGGTGTTGGAGCCACAGTTACCAAACAAACAGCTGATATTATATTTACTTTCTTTTTGTTGGCACCTTCCACTTTTCCTGCAACTCATGTAAATTCTTTATTAATCTTGTAGAGTTATATAAAAATCATATGGATTCAGGATTTCTGACCTTTCTATGATCTTATGTACATGCAGAGATTGTGCAATACATTAATAATGCAAGTCTGTCAAATAGGCAGGTGGAAAGATTTGGTTTAGACTGTAGAAAGTGACAAAGATTTGTGCCTATTTACGTGTATGACTTCCTGATTTTATAAAACGGACCGTTACGTCTCTCTCAGAGATACTGCCCTTTCTGGAAAAAAAATGCCTTTTTGAACACGCAAAAGAATTCATTTTAGGCAGGAAATTCAATCATGCATACGGCTTAATTTTTTTATTTTTTTTCCTGGGTTTTTGATTTCTTCACTGGCAAGTAATCTGAATTTCTTGATTGAGAAATGGGTTTTTGATTTGCTTACTAAAGCAATTTGTCAAGATCTGACAAACTGATTTTTAGAGAGTAGAACCTAGAGATTGTCTAGCAGGATAAAATAGACCTCTGAAGTGCATTAGCTATATTTTCTCACTATAAATGAGAATATTAGAGGGCAAAGCTCTAGCCATTGTCCGAGGCCTCACTAGCATAGCCGAATCAGACAAAGGTTAGACTCTCGTGAGCTTAGATGGCCACTGCTCGATCTACCACTCTGGTCAAGCTGAATCCTTTCAAATTATACGACGCAATTAGCAAAGTTTGGGATGTTATATGGAAGAAGCTGCTTAGGCTATTTGGTGATTTTAGTTCCTTTTTTTTTTACCGGTAAAGTGTAAATTCTATTGATCAAAACTCATTTACAAGTACACCGAACATACCCGAACAAATCAACATCAAGTGACTCATACAATAATTTCTATGAAGTTAGATCAGATCAGACGAATTTTTTGGCAGATCAGATCCACAGTTTTTTTTTCTGTTCTATCTAAATGTCACATTTTATATTTCCTTTTTTTCTTTTTCCTTCCCTTCTTCGTCTTATAAATTCTTCCATTAAAGACTCCACATTTTTTAAGTTTAAACACATTTTCTACAACACTTTTGAAATCTTTTTTATTTATATCCCGAAAGAAATATTATATGATTTTCAAACTGTAAGATATTTACAACCGTTTTACTTTCAATTTTTTTCTCCCTTCGCCATTAAGAAATGAACTTCACTGTCCATTCGTTTTAAGTACAAATGAAAGAGACAAACATGCGAAAGCTTCTTCTCTGTTTATATCCTAAGTTCCAAACAAAGAGCAGATAACAGGAAAATTCACGGGAGGACTTGAAACAATTTCATGGCCTAAATTCCAACAAACCAAATTGTATCAAAGCATCGCGGAATTTCTCTTTTCTATGTTCTGTTCATTTTTAACACACACAAAACCATATAATAATCTCTTATGATCGTCTACTGTTATAGTCGACACTAGACATGAACAAAATGCACTACAATCTAGTTGTTTTACTTTTATTTCAGTAATTTGTACAACATAAAGAAATCCAGGTACAATTAACCATGTTTCTATTATCTACAATCCTGATTAGTCTGTTTCTAGAAAACCTTCAACGTTCATCACTTACTGCAATAAAAATGATTCAAATGCAATATTAATGGATAAATTGTTGATCTACAGCAAGGTTTAAGCTTAACATAAACTGAGGGTACGTGAAAAGGAAAATAAATTGGAGCTGACTATTTCACTATGATGTATCTTTGGATTTTGCCACAGTATACAATTATAGTGATAAAAATTAGTTGGCGCAATCAGACTATTAAATCTTACTATCTCGGCACTAGAAGAGAAGCGGTCTAACAAAAAATTGCACTCTCTAAATTTCTCATAGAAACAGGAAAGAATTCATATCAACCATTAAACTCACTACACAAAAACTGACTTCCATTGCCCGCAAAATGGTAGTATTAAATGGTAGGCAATTGTATTAATATTATTCTAAGCACCGGAAAGAGCTGTTTTGAATTTTTTGATTGATACCCGAATTAGCATTTGTGCTCGAATGTTCAACAATGCATTGATGGATCTTATGGTCAAACTCTCTATGTAGCTTATATCTTGATAAGACTCAATTCACAACCTTGTTATGGAAGACTAATTCAATCAAGACAGAGATAAAGGACGTAACCTTCAATGCATTACTAGATTGTGATCGGATCCCCCTGCTACTGGTCTAAATTAGATTCAACAAAGTATTGATTGGTTATTCGTTGAAATGGAAACTAAAGAAAGTAACAATTCCAAGCATTCGAGAGGCTTAGATCTCTCCCCCTACATCAACCACTAATCACTGAATGAATATCCCCATCCCTTATTATGTTTATAGGCAACCTATCTCACCCTATTCTCCACAATACCCCTGCCCCTAACTGAATCTGTTTCTAACTGAATAAGCTTTTCAATTCTTCTAGGTCCTTCCACATTGATGGGAGTCTATCAGTGCTTATATTACAATCAAATTCATATGTTTCTCATGGAATTTAGCAACCACTAAGGGTGCGTTTGATTGGAAGGGTGGAAAATGGGAGGAAAGAAAATGTTTTACAGGGAATTGATTTTCTTAGAAAATGTTTTACTAGGAATTGTAATTAATTGTGTTTGATTTGTATAATTTTCCATGAAAAATGTTGAAAATTTGGTATCCATTTGACNTGATACTACATAGAAACCTAAAACGTACATTATACAATTATAGTGATAAAAATTAGTTGGAGCAATCAGACTATTAAATCTTACTATCTCGGCACTAGAAGAGAAGCGGTCTAACAAAAAATTGCACTCTGTAAATTTCTCATAGAAACAGGAAAGAATTCATATCAACCATAAAACTCACTACACAAAAACTGACTTCCATTGCCCGCAAAATGGTAGTATTAAATGGTAGGCAACTGTATTAATATTATTCTAAGCACCGGAAAGAGCTGTTTTGAATTTTTTGATTGATACCCGAATTAGCATTTGTGCTCGTATGTTCAACAATGCATTGATGGATCTAATGGTCAAACTCTCTATGTAGCTTATATCTTGATAAGACTCAATTCACTACCTTGTTATGGAAGACTAATTCAATCAAGACAGAGAGAAAGGACGTAACCTTCAATGCATTACTAGATTGTGATCGGATCCCCCTGCTACTGGTCTGGATTAGATTCAACAAAGTACTGATTGATTATTCGTTGAAATGGAAACTAAAGAAAGTAACAATTCCAAGCATTCGAGAGGCTTAGATCTCTCCCCCTAAATCAACCACTAATCACTGAATGAATATCCCCATCCCCCCCTTATTACATTTATAGGCAACCTATCTCGCCCTATTCTCCACAATACCCCTGCCCCTAACTGAATCTGTTTCTAACTGAATAAGCTTTTCAATTCTTCTAGGTCCTTCCATATTGATGGGAGTCTATCAGTGCTTATATTACAATCAAATTCACATGTTTCTCATTGAATTGAGCAACCACTAAGTTCACATTATATTAGGGTGGTGGAAAAGCAGTGACAATCATACATATCGAGCATTATGAGACAGTATCATTCATGCCATAGTTGGCCATCCAATACCATAAACAATCAATTAGCCTTTGACTAAAAAAAATTATTAATTGGAGGCAAAATCATCCTACAATACCATTCCACTACTATAATGCCCTGTTTGATTGCCACATTTTCCATGGAAAATGTCACATCCAAGGAAAGCGAATTCCACTTTGACCGTTTGATTGCAACATGGAAATGGAAACCGAATTCGTAGATGCAACCACTTTAAGTTGCACTTTCTTTGTTTTCATGGAATACGAATTCCTATGGGTTTGATGGTTTTTTATTTTCCAACTAACATGGAATTTGAATTCCTTTCCACCTTTGCCTATCAAACGGATGCTAAGATAATTATTCCAAGTTTAATGCAAGAGACTATATATGGTACATTATTGGAACATAATGAACATCAAAAGCATCCTTCTATTTTGACAAAGTTTAATCGTAGTACAACTACATATGAATTTTGTTCGTACATGTCTCATCAGTCAGATAAAACCTGGATACCTTCCAGCAACAACTCCATATCCGAAATGAGCAACCTCTGAAATCAATTCACTTATCTCAATTGACCAAGAACAAATCAACTCATCCCAAATAAGTCAGTGCTGAGCCCATTGAATACTTTTAATATCAATCCCTTCCTTCACCATCTCATAAAGCGGGCTCATTTCCCTTAACTTTTCAACCTGCTTAACTGTCAATTCCGCTGCTCGATCAATCTCCTCCTCAGTGGTGAACCTTCCTATTCCATACCTAATTGAGGTATGCGCCATGTCCTCCTCCACTCCCAAAGCCCGCAACACGTATGATGGCTCCAAACTCGCACTCGTGCATGCACTCCCACTCGACACTGCCACCTCCTTCAACCCCATCAACAAGCTCTCCCCTTCGACATATGCAAACGACAAGTTCAAATTCCCAGCATACCTCCTCTCCGTGCTTCCATTCACTACTACCCCATCAATTTTCTCCCTAATCCCATCCAACAAGCGCTCCTGCAAAGCCTTAATTCGCTTATCATCATATTCCATCTCCCTCATCGCTAGCTCACATGCTGCCCCAAACCCAACAACCAAAGGCGTAGGAACTGTTCCACTCCTTAACCCCCTCTCTTGTCCACCCCCATTCATTTGGGGCTCCACCCTAATCCTTGGCCTCCGCCTCACGTACAAAGCCCCAATTCCCTTTGGCCCATAAATCTTATGCCCACTCAATGACATCAAACTTATATTCATTTTATCCACATCAATTGGAATCTTCCCCAGAGCCTGAGCAGCATCAGTATGCAAAGGAACATTAAACTCTTTACAGATTTTCCCAATTTCCTCCATCGGCTGAATCACACCAATCTCATTATTCACCATCATTACCGAAATCAAACCTGTATCTGGCCGAATCGACTCTCTGAGCTTTTCCAAGTCAATAAGCCCATCAGGCTTAACCGGCAGATAAGTTACATCAAATCCCTCCTGCTGCAAATGTCGGCAGGAATCCAACACACACTTATGCTCAGTCTGGGTAGTTATAACATGGCGCTTTTTATCCTTATAAAAGTGCATAACGCCCTTAATCGAGATATTATTCGACTCAGTAGCGCCGGAGGTGAATATAATTTCCTTCGGGGAGGCGTTAATGAGGGCTGCGACCTGAGCCCGGCCCGATTCCACGGCATTCTCGGATTCCCACCCATAGAGATGGGTCCTGGAATGGGGATTGCCGTATCGAGAGACGTAATAGGGAAGCATGGCGTCAAGGACCCTGGGGTCCACCGGAGAAGTGGCCTGCACGTCGAGATAGAGTGGCCGACCGGAGATTTTGACGCCTTTCATTGTTATACCATTTGCGTCCTCTTCGAGCGGCTCAACTATGGCAGCGGCGGTGGAGAGAGGGCGGCGGTGGATGAAGGTAGTGGAATAGCAGGAGCTGGTGGTGGGTTTAAGGAGAGAGCGGCGGAGGAGGGCGGCTAGAAGCTTCGAGGTCATGATGGCGGTGGTGGGGTTTTCTCGATTAGGTTAATTTGCGTCTGGGTTTTGTTTCTGCATTAGGGAGTTGTACATGCCCTGTTTGTACTTTGTGGTTGCCAATATCGGAATATATTAATATAATGTAAAAATTGCACATGTGGTCCCTGTTCTATTACCGTAATAGAAAGTTAGTACACAGCTTTAAAACAAAGCAGCGTTTCATCATAAATTCATAATTGAGCAACCGGTTATCAACGATGAAGACCGTCCAAATATATGTTGGACTATCACATAACTCTCGCATATTCAATTTATGAAGCTAGCTTTTGGTTTCCAACTTAAGCCAATATTCAAAAATTTGAATGTCTTGATAATTCAAACATAAAATCGAAAGAGAAAAAGAACTTAATTCCTATAGCAATAGTGATACCTTATTTTATTCTATTTTCTAAGGCTTATGACCGACTCTTTTACCTTGAGTCTTTTCACTTAACGTTGATATGACCAAATGGCAGGCAGCATATGTACCCTGCATTAGCGACTTGATTCTTTCGGTCTTTCACTTGAGAAAGTAACGTATTCCGTAAACTTTTAGATTTCATTTCTGTTTATATAGTCTAAGGGATGATCATTACAACGTGATAATGATTCTTTGAAAGATCGATTGGTACAAAGTCATTCAACACTATCAGTTTATCCGTCCCAAATTGGTGATCTTCTAAGCCATGAGAAAGCTTCGAGAGAGGGCTTGGATGCTGGACAAAAAAATCCCCAATAGCTTAAGGTCCTAAAAGTCCCTATCAGAGAGAGCTCTAGGGAAGAAGCCAATTCCAACTGCAAAAACCAAAAAATTATAGGTAATGAAAATCTCTTAACATCAGGAGATGTGCTTTGTGGGGGTATACACCCCAGCAACAAGTTAATTGTTTATATATATCAAGAACCAAAGAACAAATGAAAGCATTTATCTTGAAGAGGGGAGTTTGATTTGCAAATGGAGGAGCACAAGGGGAAAGAAGTGGGAACATGAAAATTTCCTGATGTATGGTTTTGTATCTAGAATTCGAATAACACAAGGTTTTGCTGATGCAATTGCTTCTTCATACACTAGCAACTCAAATGAAGATATAAGCGACCCAAAAGGAAAGGCATTCATCTCAATTAGCGAAAAGGGAGTCAATACTGCAAAAACAGGAAGCTAAATCATCTTCTCCATAATTTTTAAGCTGAATTCTTCTGTCAACCATCAGATTAGCAAGCTTTTCAGCTTCCACCAAATGGCATTTTTCACAAAGTCCAGACAATGTGATCGAGTAAACGTCAGAATCGATGGTAGGAAATCCAGATTTTTCAGGTAAATCAAACCAACCAAATCCATCTAGCATTCGTCCATCCAGTATTATAGCTTTTATGATAGTAGAATGACAACCATTATTTGGCAAAACAAAGTTTTGAATAATGTTTTTTAGAAGAATTTATGTTTAAAAAGTAGGGAAAATTTTGGGTGTACATGCAAAATATTTTACTTTGTGAATTTGTGGTCCGAATTGAGTATGTAAAAAAAATCAAATAATGGTTGTCAAACATGTAAGTGTTATGCCCTAAATCCAATCAATTTTGGACATAAACACTTTTAATATATATAATCGATGCGTATTTACGGCAATATCTATTATTTAATTAAATTAATATTCTAATAGATTAAATGATAGAATCAATAGATTCAATAATTAGTGATTTGTTAATCACAAGAAGTTGTGATTGTGAGATACAAATTATATATGACTTAATCTTAAATCGTTTGTGGTCGTATGTAATAACGAGTTACGAATATCGTTATTACTGATAAATCATTACGTGTGACATTTATTACTTGTGAAGTAAGTAGCTGATCTCACAAGTTAAAGTGTGGTGACAATTGAATGAACACGTGGATGTTTTGTTATAGAACAAAACATTGGAGATTAGCTGGGAGATTCCACATGGATAACTATCTGAGTGTCACTGATTAATCTCTAACGTTCGGTAATGGAATTGGTCATTTGATTTGAGGTCATCATAGTGCCTTATATGAGGACAGTCATATTTTGGTGATGTTGGATGTTGCTGCGCCAAGGGTCGCTAATACAACATCATTCGGGTATGTCAAGAATCATATGAAGGTTATGAATAATTAATACATAATTCGTCACTCTTAGATAGTAAGAGATTATGATCTACATTTTATCCAGATAAGTTGATAATGAAATCATTGACCAATGTGAACTCATAAGTCGAAAATGAGTTTTCGACTTACATTGACTTAACTGTGGGATAACATATATGATCGATAATTGAGATTGACACATATCCATATCTTATAATTGATCGGATCATATTGACGAAAAGATTATAATTTCACGGTATACAAACAAGTATGGTTTTGTCACACTACATGATATTTTCTGTCACATGTATTGCCTGACACATTACTAGATGTCAATTTGAGATAACGAATGTGAATTAGTGATAAATTAAAAGTGGTGTTTTAATGTATCTATTTTGATTAGATAAAAATAATAATTCACGTCATTAGATATCGTGATTGAGAATCTAATAGGTCACACACAAAAGAGAACTAGAAGAATGAAATTTACCAATTAATTAATTGACAAGTGTTGGACAATTAATTAATTGAATTGCTTATTAATATACCCGAATTCATTAATTGGATTAATTAATTCATGTACCACATTTAATTAATTTGATTAATTAAATATTGGATCGTGTTAAGTTTAAGAGACGGGTCAAGCCCGCTTGAGTTTATATTAATAGGCTGCTAGGATTTGAAAACGGTATGAAATAATTTGTTATTCTTACTAGCACAAGAAAAGAAAATGCTAGTCATCATTCTTATTCTCTGTGTGGATCACTATTAGAGATTGGACAATTGGACAGCTTGGATTACAGATCGTGATCATTCGAGTTTGGAAATTAGCAAATGAGTTTACAGAATTCATCAAAATGTATTATTCTAATCACAGTTTCTATCTAAATACAAAGCAGATCCGTTGTGGGAATTGAAAAATAATTTATTTTTTGCCGTACATGATTAAGCAAATTCTCAACAGTGGTATCAGAGCCTACTTTATATTTGTTAGAAATTGTTTCGAAT